GCGGTCACCGGTGACCGCTTGGTGTTTGACAGTTTAATGATGAATAATGCCCTCTATTCCAATCTGCCTTGAGCAGGTGTTATGAGTAATGCCTCTGCATGTGAGAAAGAGGTATTTGCTCAGCAGTGGACACCTAAGGGCTGTTGATGATGATGATAATGCATGCCCTCAGAATTTAATGTATATTGACAAATAATCAAAAGCTCATGATTTACCTTGTATCCCAAATCCTCACAGATTTATCTCCACTAGCTGTACTTAGCAAGTCAGGATGTGAGGCATGCCAACACAGTTGATCAACAGAACCAGTATGGCCTTTGAATATGTAGTCTTGTACCTAAAACAAAAATATTATTAAACCTTCTTCAACAATTCATTACAAGGCACTACACTAGATCACCTTTGCTTGACAAAAAACAACACGAAGACATAAACATAACCTAAAAATTTGTAAACAAATTTTCAAACTTACCAATCTATTTCTTTCCAGCGTAAACGTAGCCACACTCTTATCAAATGAACCCGATGCTAGTTTTCTGCCATCACAAGACCACCCAACAGAGTGCACTTTAGAAGAATGGGCTATGTATTCGCGAACTAGATTATGCGAAGCGAAATAACTTCGTAATTCCGCTAAATCTTCTATTGGAGTCTGTGTATGTTTAGGATCTTTCATTTTGGATAAATCTATTGTGTTACGATGTATTAAAGAATTTTAGCGGCAACAAAAGTCCACAACAACAGCAAAGCTACAACACAACCTGTCACCGCTGCAATTTTGAAATCGAATTCGAAACTGACAGTGACAGAGACCTAGACTGGTAGTGAGTGACAATCATAGACTTTTAGAGAACCATAGACAAAACGCCATTGTTTTGTAAAATAACCACTATTATTACAAAGATGGAGCGTTTGTTTGTTTGAACGCGTTAATCTACAGAACAGTAAAAATATCTTTATATCGGATAGCCTATTTATCGAGTACTACCACAGTAAACACGGATGAAACTATATGGCAGCAGCTGCTTTTAAAAAAATAACAGACTTCATTCAAACATTCTTTATTAAATAATATTGTACTCAGACTAGGTACATTGAATTAATCTAATGATCAATTATCGGTTACCGATGTAGTCACGTCGCCAATGCTTCAATTGGGTATGGAAATATAAAACCGGTGATAACCATACAACGTACATAAACAAAATATGCAGAGCCTTCTCCTGAAAAAAAAAATATTAAAAATACAAGTTTTGCTGTATAAAATCATGGCCATATTTTGGACAGCCAAACCCCTATCCCCGATTCTTCAAAGGTCAGCAACGCTTCACAGAAGACCGACGTGAAACAACGATTGTGTTGTGTTTCGTCGTGTGAGTGAGGTTACTGGAGGTCCAATTACCCCTCCCCCTTTTCCCAAACCCAACAATCTTCAAATTCCTAATGCCAAAAGGCCAGTAACGCACTTGTAACGTGCCTTCGGTGTTCCAGATCCAGTGTCCATGGGTGACGCCGATTGCTTACCATCAGGTGATCTGCCTGCTCGTTTACCGGTTTATCTCATAAAAAAAACGCTTGTTACTCACCCAATACGAACATTTAACTCTTGGTGGAGTTGAAATTATATGGCCCACTTGAGCAAAATCACGCTTCAAAAGGTGAGAAGGCAATAAAGCCGATCGTAACAACCCACGACAATTATTTATGATCATTTCGCAATAATTCGCTAACGATATCCTCGAATAGAATTTGATGTGTCAAGTTGATTTTATTTTTTCAAATTAATATTTCGTACCAATTCTCTTTTTAAATACATATGAAGGTATAATGTAATATTAAAAGACCTCTTTTTGGACATCTATTTATCTACAATCTGCGTTGTATCTAACCAATCATAACTTTAAGTTGTATATATTTATTCACCTGCCTTCCTCCCTCGTTAGCCAAGTGGTCGCAAGTGCGACTACCGGGCAAGGAGTCTCGGGTTCGATTCGATGCCCGAGTCGGGCAAAGTATTACTGGGTTTTAAAAAAATCTCAGTGGTAGCACGGAGTCTGGAATTGTTCGGTATATGGCAATAGGCTCACCCCTTATTACATGGCACTCATAACATAAATAGTGAAAATTGGGTGTAACATTGTACAGTACCTAGCATATTGTGCACCTCTGCCTACACCTTCGGGACTAAAAGGCGTGATGTTATATTTATTCAAAATGATTATGTTATTTAAGTGTCTTTACCATTCACGGGATCACAGGGTCCCGGTCATTTGGGAGGCGTACGATACGAGGGGCCGAAGCCAACTGCGCAGAGGACCTTTAGACATCTTTAAAGAGAAATTACTATAACTAACTTGTAACTTTGTAACTTTTTCATAATTTAGATTGCGGAAAAAAAAGAAAGATGAATCGCTTTGTCAAATATTTATTTATAAAAAAAATTGCATTGACAGAAAACTTAACAAATTGTGCACTCCATAATTCTAACTTAGTTACTTAAAGTTAATAGACACTCTGAGATTACGCTCGAAGAGTGCTCTACATGGGCAGAGCTGCGTCGTGAACTCATTACAGTGCTCGGAGGGAATGATCTCTCATTGCCGACCGTAGTGCGAGCTATGGTTGACAGTGAGAGTGCATGGGATGGAGTCGCTTCCTTCTGTGAACGTGTCATGTTGGCAAAGGAGTCGGCTAAAAGGTAGAGGGAGGCGTCCAGCTCTCTCCTTTCCCGCCGTAGACGCGCCGGCCGTCCACGCCGCGAGGTGGTAGCTGATCTGCGACCTCCATAGGAGATACCTTCGGGCGACTGATTAGGGGAATCAGTCGTCCGTTGTATGGGCTAGTAGGCGTTAGCGGTGTGTTCACGCGCGCCACTCGAGGATGAAAATCGCAGTTTTTGAGGGCTGCTACGTGGTGGGACCTGCCACAATGTAGTGGTAGGTCGAGGCCTGCCGGGTGTGGTGAATCCGCAAGGGCGTCCCGGGTCTCGGCCACAGGCAGAGAAGAAACACCGCGGTGGTTTTAGCCGGTAAGAGTCCGGCACACTCCCCCGTCGTGGGAAGTCCATGAGGATTTCCATCGCGTTATAAAAAAAAAAAAAAATTGGTATCAATACCGAACATTCAAATAAAATAAACGCATAGTTCAGCCAATAGATCAACTTACTGTCTTCTTACAAAAAACTACATAGGTATAGGGTATATAAGGTGCTCTATAATTATCTGCCACGGCTTTAATGGGAGGTAGTGTTATGTTTACAGATTACAATTGTGAAGAAATTTCGTACCCCGGACCAGTTAATTACATAAAGTAATTAAGTAAACATTGACTACATTCTGCATAATGTCGTTCACAAATTACGCGCGATGCGTCGCTTAGTCAATGAAAACAATTGCTATCTCTTTCGACGTGTACTGAGAATGAAAACGGAAATCAGCTGACTAGTTCGTCACTATCTAATCTACTAGATACTCAATAGGCAGGCTAACAAGGGTTTTAAAAGTGCAATTACTTACCAGGTACGGCATTCTTCCGAAAAGCTGATGTAGGTAAATAAGATTATAAACTTCCCATCACACTTAAAACAGTTTTTTACACACTTTTACAGTTATTTACACACTCTCTACCTACTTATCTACAAAACTGTTGCACAAGCCCACCTTCACGTTGCACACAAATGAAGGCACGCTTCCAAACATATCATATCACATTATTTAATGTGTCCGTCTCACTTTCACTTTATTTCGCGTTTGATTTAAAAGACGCCACAAGTTATTGTCTCTATCATCGTAAACTCCGGCAGTATCCCTTGTGCTCGCAAGAGGATGACACCGAAAGAACTCTAACACTTCCTCTCCGAGGTCTGATTTGAATTTCGTCGCCTGGGAGACATTTTTACGTAGCGCGCGCGTATCTCCGACATTGAAACTAACGAACGTCCGGGCAGGCGGGGGTTGACGGGGCTACTGGCGGCCGGGCGGCGCGTGCGACGTGTTCTGCTGGGGTGTGCTGTCTCGTTCTTGAACGCCCCGTCATACGCTGTTGCCATCCTTATCAGTAGCTCAACCCCCGCCTGCCCGGCGGCCGGTTGACCAGCGCGTGCGACGAGTGCAGGAGAGGGTGCGGGCGCGCGGGGGTGTGCAGCGTGCTCCAAGCCGCCCGGCGCTGAGCGGTCTGATAAGGATGGCAACAGCGTATGATGGGGCGTTCAAGAACGAGACAGCACACCCCAGCAGAACACGTCGCACGCGCCGCCCGGCCGCCAGTAGCCCCGTCAACCCCCGCCTGCCCGGACGTTCGTTAGTTTCAATGTCGGAGATACGCGCGCGCTACGTAAAAATGTCTCCCAGGCGACGAAATTCAAATCAGACCTCGGAGAGGAAGTGTTAGAGTTCTTTCGGTGTCATCCTCTTGCGAGCACAAGGGATACTGCCGGAGTTTACGATGATAGAGACAATAACTTGTGGCGTCTTTTAAATCAAACGCGAAATAAAGTGAAAGTGAGACGGACACATTAAATAATGTGATATGATATGTTTGGAAGCGTGCCTTCATTTGTGTGCAACGTGAAGGTGGGCTTGTGCAACAGTTTTGTAGATAAGTAGGTAGAGAGTGTGTAAATAACTGTAAAAGTGTGTAAAAAACTGTTTTAAGTGTGATGGGAAGTTTATAATCTTATTTACCTACATCAGCTTTTCGGAAGAATGCCGTACCTGGTAAGTAATTGCACTTTTAAAACCCTTGTTAGCCTGCCTATTGAGTATCTAGTAGATTAGATAGTGACGAACTAGTCAGCTGATTTCCGTTTTCATTCTCAGTACACGTGGAAAGAGATAGCAATTGTTTTCATTGACTAAGCGACGCATCGCGCGTAATTTGTGAACCACATTATGCAGAATGTAGTCAATGTTTACTTAATTACTTTATGTAATTAACTGGTCCGGGGTACGAAATTTCTTCACAATTGTAATCTGTAAACATAACACTACCTCCCATTAAAGCCGTGGCAGATAATTATAGAGCACCTTATATAGTCCGATTCTCATAGGCGGCGAGACTATTACTAAACACAGAGCACATTTACTTAAGTATTATCGACTATAACAATCATGTCTTCCCTCTTTAATATTTTTTTACCTTAACTTCGTTATCTACTTCATACTTTCTTTTTACAATTTTGCACCTACCGCTTTAACATTCTGCACCACCCAATGGTCGACTGTCAGAAAATGCCGACGATATTAAGTCCGCCAATTTCACTGTATGTGCAATAAAGTTTAATAAATAAATAAAAAATAAAATAAATAAATTTACAAATTGCCCTACAAATGGTGCCAATGTAGTGCAAGGTCCTATTTGTCCAATTACTGTACATTTTGCTGACAGAAATTGACTGTCTATAGGCAAGGTAGGATTTCATACATGCCTTGGACAAACAGAATATAGCTACAGGCCACAGTACATCGTAGTGTTCAGTTCCAACACAGTAACAGCTAACATTTACGTTATTAAGGTATACCTACATTTATAAACAAATGCCTTACTGTTATAATATGGCGTGCGTACATGAGAAATACAACAAACGGACTAAGCCCTCTTAAACCATAAAAATAACGATCCGTAACTAATACATTCTAAAAAGTAACGAGAATTTTCCAAACATTTTGTCATAATATGCATTAAAGTATCACATTACGAAATCACAGGTTGTTTAAATACAAACTAGAAAACTAGATAATAAACAGCAATAATATGAATTTATCCATTATTTTCTATAAATACAACACTTATTTCAATACACATAGAGTTCTCTTTTAAAACTAAAACTGAATTGGTTAGAATTTCACATTTTTGTCAATTTTTTAAGGATACCAAGTGAAATTACAATATTTCATTTGGGTAACGTCATATTTTTACTGGTCAGTCATTCTAAAACTGCTGTTATACTTACATTTCGCTTACCATCAGGCGAGATAGCGCCCAAGTACCTACATAAAAATTACAACACTCAAGAGAACCCTTTGTTTTACACTTCTACAATCAAAAAGGCCATTCGTATTCTTCACAAGTCATATGATAAAAAAAATTAAATAAATCATCTATTTAATGCTAATCTAATAATTTCGCTTTCGCACTAATGAACTTTTCCAGATTCTGCATGTGCCTATAAATATTAAAAGGAGTCGAATTTATAACAGCAGCACATTCTTTTATAACAAAATAGAAACTGCTTGGTGTATTCTCTTTCAATTCTTCATCGAACTTTTTATGCCAGTCTTTAGACCGCACCATAAAGTCCGCGTTATAATGCCTGAACCAATATTTATACTCTGTAAAATTCTCTTTATTTATCAAAGGTTCCAGGTCTTCTTCCCAAGCAATCTTGGCCTCTATCATTTTCTTTTCTTCTTGTAACGTCTTCAATGGTATGTCATCGTCGGAATCACTTTCATACTTGGTTTCAATAATCTTGATCTCTTCAGGTTTTCTGATCGAAAAGAAACCAGTTTTACCTTCTTCCAGTTTTTTATTAAGTATTTCATCAACTTTGGGATCTTCTAGTAAACTGTCTATGTCTTCTTCTTTTTCTTCTTCGATCTTCATTTTAAGATAAAGTTGTTCTGTATCATACTTTTTGTCGTCAAATTTTGGATCAACTTTTGGTAATAGTTCATTTATGTTAATTTCTTCTTCGTCTTCGAATAGTTTTTTCTCCGTATGTTCGTCTATTACTTCTTCAATTACATCAGTTTTATCTGCATTCTGTTCTTTGTCAGTTTCTGTTTGTAGCAAACTTGTTTGAGGGTTAACAGTTGATTGGTTTTCTAAATTTTCTGTAATCATAGATGTTGTTGCCGACAATGCAGCAACATTTGTAGTGTTTAGTAATGCAGGTTGAGTCATATTTGCATTCATGAAATTTGCAGTTTCGTTTGGATTTGGCTCCAATCCACTAATAATTGAACTGTTTCGAACAGCCATGCTAACTTCGTTTTGCAATTTATTGAATAAATCTAAGCGATGATGTTCGTAGTATCCAGTGACAAGTTCAGCCACTTTGTGTTTATTTTCCGCAGCACTTGTCCTAGTTCGTTTTCTTGGTTCTCTGTTTACATCTTCATCACGAATCACCTCAGCCCTTCTTTTTCTAGTTTCCCTATTTTTATACTCATTGGGTACAGGGATTTTATATTTTTTACAAGCCATCAAGACCAATTCTTTAATTGTTTGTTCGCTATCAAAAGTTTCGGGATTAAATACTGGTATCATGTTCTCATTGTCAGACATGTCAGTTATGCTCGCGCGATCATCGTTGATTGATTCGTTATTTGGAGCTAGTAGCTCATCATAGGGTAGATCTGGATCTTCATCATTAGCTTGTTCCAATTCATCCTTTAAATCAAGTTCTTCAAATGAATCGTCGAATATATTTTTTTCATTATCTTCTTCTGTTATTATGAATTCTCTAGTATCTTTCTCTCTTTCTGTCATACTTACATCGGTGACATCGTCTCTATTTTCAGTTTCATTGGCGATTTCTTTATCATTTGTGGGGTTTTCTGAGTCATAACCATGATCACTCTCTTTGTCAGTACTTGAGTTTTGTACATCTTCGCAATGTACATGTTCTATTGTTGGAGGTTTAGTTTTCATCCAGTTTTTATTTTCACAATTCTTAACATAAACCATTTGAGTTTTACTTCTTTTCATAACAATTGTACCCATAATTATTTTATTACTTGTCACCTTTCTATTTTCACTGACTCCTTTGATGATGTTTTCTGCGTTTTCATCTAACAGTTCTAAATGCTCGCAGGCATATTTGAGAGAATACTGAGTAAAATCTTCACTGAGAAGATACCTCAACTCAGGATCCTGAGTATGTTCAACTATGATATCTGTATACTCATAAGTAGGGGTTATTGATGGTGAAAACCGTTGTTTTGGGATAACTCTACCTTCGTCATTTTCAGGTATTTTGTTAATTAAATCCATTGCAGTTTCGTCTTGTAAATCTTTGGTTTTATGTGGTCTATCATTTGAGTGTTCAATGTAGACTTGATCATCAATGTCTAAACAATACTGCTCTGCCATATACAGACAACATTTGCTTAGAGTAATCTTCCTAAATTGTAAATAATTACACCATTCTCTAAATGAAAATAATCTTTTACTTGGTTCAGAATACTTACCGTTCCTGTGTGACTTTTGTAGGTCTCTGTCTATATTAATTTTATCAACTGCATCTGATAGTCTTTCCTCATAATCCCCATCTAGACCGAAGCACAGTTTTATTGCAACTAGAACGTAGGACATCACCACACCTTCATAATCAGGCACACTGCAAAGGCGTTCCTTAGACTTGTCGCTGACATCAAGGAACTCGCATTGATGAAGACGCATCAAGGAGTATATCAGTGGCTTTAAATCATTAGGGAGGCAAAGTTCCAGTAAGATATTATCAATAATCTTTCTCAGATTGGGAACCTTTGGTCTTCCGAGATCTAGTTTCCGCAGTAAAGACATAGTTAATGCTCGTAAGAAATGCACATTAACAATTTTACTGTGTATGAAGTTAGTCCAGAGTTTTTCCAAGGTTTTCACATGAATATCGTCGGGCACAAACCTTTGTATGTTGGAGAAATTTAAATGTTTCTCTTTGATGAACCTGTATAAATGAGACAGTTGTATGTCGCTCTCGTCTAAGTTCAGTGCTAAGTATAACATGGCTAGAATAACTCCTTTTGACAAGAATCTTATATCTCTCCGAGATCCGTCCACAATGTTGTTTAAGAGTTTTGATTTTACTGGTTTACCTTCTTCATTTACTTCTTCGTTTTCTCCTTCATTATCATCTTCATCTGTGTTGTTACTATTTTCTTCAAACATAACACTTGTTAGGTTTATGTGATCATTTCCTTCTTGTGATGTTTTTGCTAATCTGTAAAAAGTTATCTGTAATGAGTATAACACATTATAACACAGTTTTTTTAAGCCGTTATACTTATATCTGTCTCGCTGGCCGAGTGGTCGCAAGTGAGACTGTCGGGCAAGGGGTCTCAGGTTCGATTCCCGGGTCGGAAACAGTATTATTGGGTCTTTTAAAAAAATTCTTAGTTGATACAGTCTGGAAGTGTACCCAGTATATGGCAATAGGCTCACCCCTATTACATGGGACTCATAACATTAATAGTGAATAGTGGGTGTTACATTGTCCTCACCCGGGCGGGAGTAGTCATTGGATGATTTTCCCCCCTCAAAAAAAAAAAAAGGGTGTTACATTGTACAGTGGCAATAAGTGCTGTAATGTGCACCACTGCCTACCCCTTCGGACATAAAAAGGCGTGATGTTAGTCATGTTGCTATACGCATAAATACAATGGTTAACAATTTAAAAAGTTAATGAATCAATTTTTGTAGCAATTTGGGACACTATTTCACTGAAGGCACTAGTAATACACATTTTTTTTCAGCTTGGGTTAAATATTGTAGAATATTTGTAATGTATTAAACTGTCAAACACCAAGCGGTCACCGGTGACCGCAACCTACTGTTCTATAATTGTGTCTACAAAACCGGTACTCGACGAGTTAATATACAGATTTCTAACAATTGAAATCCTAATTAATAAAAGTATTCTTAACCAACAAGCCTGCATGAAAAGATTGACAACTGTTGATGAAGCAAAAGAGGTATGTAGGAATCATAGCAATTGGCATTCTATAGTCTCTGCCTACCCCCATGGGAAACAAGTGTGAAGTTATGTATGAAATTCTTCAAACAGACCGAACATTGACCCAAAGACATCAGAATCATCAGCTCTGCAGTAAAATAACTAGCAGAGTCCACTCTAAGAAGAAATAACTATTAAAACAGCCAGTAAAACTTTATAGAAAGATCTTACTCACCCTATATCTTCTTTATTCTGATATTTCTTAACATATCTCGTCCAAATCCAAAGCAGTTTTAATTTGAACGAAGGTTTCGCTCCAGCAGCCACCAGCTCGTCGGCCAGCCCTAATATTATGAAGTTATATGCATGCCATTTGTACCATTCTGGACTCACTGTGAACATTAAACAAGTAATTTTTACTAATTGTAACTTTTTATGAAGGTTTGTTATAGGGGCAATAGCAGGCATACAGGTTTCGTGGAAAATAAGTGCAATTGTTTTCTTAGGAAATTGGACGTATTCTTTTAATTAAGTAGGTACTCTGGATCTTTTCTTTTTTGTGGTTGATACTGGGTTGTAAGTTTAAGTTATGTTTACATTAAAGTAAATGTAATGTAACACTGATATTGCTGATTATAACTACAAAAGGTACATTTCAATTACAGAAAAAAGGTAACTAAATTAATAGTTGTCTACTGTTGTGCAATAAAAACAACTTTGTACGTCTTAACCTCTTAAATCAAACAAAATTTCAGTTTTAAAGCAAACCACTTACTTTCAATCTTGGTATCGTGTATTTTAATAATCTTTCTTCGTGTTGATAGTGCAAATGTGCCATCTCCCAAAGATTTGTGATCAATCACAGTTTCTCTTACATTTGTGTTTTGTGTATCGCATTCCACACAATAATAGAATCCATCAATTAATTTCAGATCTGTACCACCACACACTTCACAGGGCTCAGAAGCCATTTCAAACGTTAAAAATATAACAAACTTATTAAATGAATTACCAATTTACCATGTGATTTTGTAATTGTTTTTATTATTTATCTCATCTCCCGCCTTATCACTAGAGATTAGTAGAGATGTACAATCTTGTATAAATATCGGTTTATTGACAGTTGTCAATGTAAACAATTGAAAATAATATCATATGGACTAACTTTAAGGTTAAGTTAGAGACACAATGCAATAGAAAATATATTGAGATTTAAGTAATCTTACAGTAAAAGATTAGTCTATTGACAACGGAGTGCTGGCCATTACACTCTCCTTGATACTTTGTTATTGAGACTAATAGTTATCAAAAACCGGAAACGTTGATCGAATTTTAGCTCTGCGGGCGGACATCTCTATGGCAGGGTCACCCATGCGTTAATCTGTCACCTGTCAAAAATAAATGTCAAAAATTTGCCAAAAAAATAGCATTTTCAAACAATAGAAAAATAATATTAATTGTATATAAACCAAAAGAAAACGATTATTCTAATTTATTTACTAAACTTGAAATTAACGTTCTTTCCTTAACTAAGTTTATTTTGTGTTTTTTTTGTTGCATGCATTGATTGACGTATAAATTGTTACCAGAGTCAAATAACTTCTACCAAACTAGAAGTTTTATTTTCGAATACTTATTTTTTCAAACCTTTAAAATTTCGTAAGTATTAAATTTTAATTGAATTTAGTTAGTGAAATATTAAGATTAATGCGCGTATTTATAATAAGATATGGCCTGACCTTTATCACATTTATTGACAACTAGCTAACCCGGCAAACTTCGTACCGCCTAAAATTTATTTCTCACCTTTTAAACCTTCCCTAGACTTCCACGAACCTATCAAGATAAAATTAGCCAAATCAGTTCAGCCGTTCTCGAGTTTTAGCGGGACTAACGAACAGAAATTCATTTTTATTTTATTGACAATGTATCTTCTTAAATATAAGTGTAGAAAAACCATGCTGCCTCGTTGGCCGAGTGGTCGCAAGTGCGACTGCCGAGCAAGGGGTCTCGAGTTCGATTCCCGGGTCGGGCAAAGTATTACTGGGTTTTTAAAAAAAACTCAGTAGTAGCACGGAGTCTGGAATTGTGCCCGGTACATGGCAATAGGCTCACCCCCTATTACATGGGACTCGTAACATAAATAGTAAAAAGTGGGTGTTACATTGTACAGTGGCATAATGTGCACCTCTGCCTACCCTTTCGGAATAAAAGGCGTGATGTTATGTTATATTATGTGTTAAAAACCATGCTTTGGCTCGAATTGGCCTACGGTACCACGCCCTCATAGAACACTAGTATGAAACAGCATTACGTTGTATTTCGTTCGTGTTAGTAAGGTTACCAATTTTCCAGATGCTAAATTTCCCAACCCCCATCTCAATCTCCTTAAATCCTTAGTACTAACCAAAAGACCGACCACGGAGTAGTAACTCTTTTGGAGTTGGTGGGTGTTCATGAGTAGCACGGATATCTTAGATCCATAATAATATCATTTTTTTCTACTTTAAACTGTCAAACACCAAGCGGTCACCGGTGACCGCAACCTATTGTTCTATAATTGTGTCTATAATGACGGTACTCGACGAGTTAAGGTGACCCGACAGCTCGTTTGCCATCCCTACCTACTATAAAAGAATTCGTTGTGAAGATGAATTTATTATTTTTGTTTAGGTAATCACTAATCACCAACAGTTTTAAAGTATTATAATTCAAATGTTGATTGTTTTATTTTTAAGTGCACTATGTTACATATAATAGGCGTATTTGTTTAAGGTGGGAAAATCATCGAATGACTTCTCCCGCCTAGGTGAGGCGGAAGAGATTGTTACTGTGTTAGACTCTTAATGACTAAAAACAACCTCGTTCCTACTCCTGCCTTTCGAGCCGGAGCCCCGACAACCCGTTAACTCCTCAGAGGCTCCGTATCGGCGTCAGCCCTATTGGGCCCCATCTGTGGTGATATATAATAGGAGTAAATATAAAATTGAAGAATAGTGTACTGAAACGAAAAGCGAGTTCACTGAAACGAAAAGTAAAATATAAATTATCTTATTTTTGAGGTTATAGATAAAATATTACTAAATTACTATTTTTTTCAACATACGGTAGTTTTTTAAAACACCCGTGTGGCAACTGGAAAGCAGAAACACTGTAAAAGTGGTAATTTTCGTAGCGTATTGCTGTCCGTCATCAATAACTCGCGTAATTCGGGCGTGTGCTCCTTTTACGCATTTATTGAAAGAAACTAACCGTTTTACATCGCCGCCGACGTACACGAGCGTTCGCGCTGTCGTTTGCCGCTCAAAGACTGTCATGATATCGTCCTTTCCACCACACCCTTGGGTATCGTGAATCGTAGTCGTGAACTGTTGCGTGTTTATTGCCGACGGCAGCGTTTGAGGCTGTTGTACGGGTTGGATTACGTTAATCTGTGTACGGTGTAGTGTTATGTGTATAAGTTAGCGGTTGCATAGTTGTGTTGGAGAGCGCGGGACACATTGATGGGCAGAGTCGTGTGCGGCTGGCAGGCGGCAGACGAGCCGCAGCGGCGGGTGTTTGCTTCCTGGAGGGTCTACGATAAAATCAGCCACACTGGAACTGATGGAATTAGAGAATATCGTCGCGAACACTGTTTATTTGAAAGCCAGAGAGGGTAGGTACCTGATACATTACTCTAAAGCACTTGTTTTTATTATCATAACTTACATATATTGACGACTGTAAAACAACAATAATTGGATTTTTTTTTGTCTTGAGTTGATTCTTATAAGACTTTTATTCTAACAGTTTGTTCATAGGATAGTTTTGTTTCAGATGAGAACTTTTTGACAAACTTTAAAACAGAACAATACTTTACTTACTTTTTCGTAAAACTCTGTATTTTAGGTCTTAAGATTAGAAGATTAGAATTGAAAATAGTATCTCTCACTTTGGTATTTATTCAAGCAAAGCAGCATGCATATATAAGTTTTTTGTCACCATTTTCTCTCCAAGATTCTTATTCAAATGTCCACCTTATCAATAAATTATTAAAGTGAATTATTGAATGCAAATTGTTGTTTACGGTACAAGCATTGATTTGAAATTGTAATATTAGTGTCTGTTGCTTGAGACTAGCTCATGTGTAACTTAGTTGCTAAGAACATTTCCGATACTACTATATTTACACCTCATTGTAATTAATTATTTAATTATTACTATAACGATAACTGCGATTGAGGAAATGGAACATTCATTTGATAATTTGTAATTGTTTGCGCTCATAACTTATTAAATTATTGATAAGAATGTTGTTTATTAAAAATACGGTTACGAGAGCTTGTTTATGTCTGGATTTTCAAGTAAATTATTTCTTCTTGTGTCACATGTTACGTCTCAGTATTGAAAAGTGCGTTTTTCGTCTACGTAATTGAATTTTATAATTTATCATAACTTTTATTCATGTCTAAAATATAGGAATTGTGGAAATAGTAAATTTTAACATTCAACAAGATCTTAATATCAACAAGTTGGATTTTAAATATGCGAAAGACAAGTTCTATAAACCTGTATCGTATTATTAGCTGATGAGTACGTATGTTGAGTGTAGTATGTTGGTAGAAAATATTATAATTATGCTTATTAGTCTGTTATTATAGATGTCTCGTGATTGGCTGCTTATAAGGACATGTTTAGTTGTTTTGTGTGGTTCTCATCAATTATTATGTAGGTTTATCTAGCCGTGATGTGAAGTTATGTATGTTCTACAGAAGAAAAATCTTTCATTCTTTTTCTTTTTAAAAAAATTATCCCACATAGCATTTTCTCCTGTGTCATGGGTGCGTTTACAAACAAACAAGTTCACATACACCATGACACCCAGACCCGAAACAACAATCTGTGGATCATACAAAGAGTTGTGCCGTAAGGGAATCGAACCCGCGACACGGTGCGCGGCAGCCAGTTGTCCAGCCACCGCGCCAACCGTGCCGTCATAAGTGAATAAAAATAAGAGAATGTTAGATAAAACTGGTTTTTGACTCTATCCTCTATCTCCTAGACTTCGATCACATTCCCGAAGGATAAAAGTAGCCTGTGTGTTAATCTAGACCATAATCTATCCCTGATCTTAAGTTCATCCCAATCCCTTTAGCTGTTTTGACGCGATTGAGCAACAAACATAGACACAAACTCACAGTTTTGCATTTATAATCTACTAGCTTTTACCCGCGGCTTCAATCGCGTCACAAAAGGATAAAAAGTAGCCTATGTGACATATACCAATACACACAGCGCCATCTATACCAATACTTTTGTTTTCCCTCGGGAATATCAATTTTTTTCGGGATAAAAAGTACCCTATTATTTAATCCAGACTTCTAACTTTACGTCTGCAAAAATTCAAAGCAATCGGTTTAGTAGTTACGGCGTGAAAGCGGATCAAACAAACAAACAAACTCACTTTCCAATTTATAATATTAGTAAGGATATATACTAATATTATAAAGCTGAAGGGTTCCGAAACTACTGGTCTGATTTGAAAAATTCTATGTTGGATAGCCCATTTATCGAGGAAGGCTATAGGCTATAAAATATTACGCTACGATTAATAGGCGCTGAACAGTCCTAGTGAAGCCGCGCGAAAGTAGCTAGTATTAACTAATAAAATTACTTTTGGAAGTCAGGCAATAATGACGACTCTTAATCCTGCCGCAAGAAAAAATCGACTATCTGAGATTACACTAGTACTTATGACACCTAAGCAACTCAGGACTCACATTTAGTATTTTTTTTAATTAAATAGGCACGACACATTTTTCGGCGGCACGCACGGCTTTTCAACCAAACATCTATTGCTGTGTGAATCTTGAACCCCCACAATCAGGTGGAAGTAAGGCATAATGAATTTTATAGAATAGACTGATGTTAAACAAGTTTATGTCCCACAAGGAAACAAAAATCAAGGACACTTCCAGTACGGAAATAAAGTTAAAGTGGTCTTTATGATTAAGTACTAAAACAGTATAACCTAAGTCACCAATATTTCATGTATTATTTACATAATCTATAACGAATAATATTTGCTTAGTTTATTAATTATTTATGTAATTAAATATGAAATTGGGATATCAATTAAAATGATAACATTTTGTCAATTCATATGTGTTAGGTAGGTACCTATATATGTATAATTTTATTGTATAAGGTACTTACTGTAGTAATTAAACAACAAATATGGATGTTTATATTACAACTTTCGTGAGACATACTAAATTATTATGTTTTTCGGCTTACTCACATTATATTAGGCTTAATCACATTAATAATTATTTGATGAGGAACTCTCAAAGTTTACTCTCAGGACAAAACTCTCAACTCTCAGCCTTGAGGCTGAGAGTGTTGCATGGCTTAAAACTAGACGAGATCCTCGTTAAATAATTACGTGACTAAGGCGAAAAACATTATAATAGATTATGGATGTAATCACAAAATGAGGTTTAAATAAAATGGTTATTGTTGAATATTATTAGTATTTAGTTATGGAAGACATAGGAAATCTTACTTCACCATACACCCATTAGTGGATGAACTTGAGCTAACTGTTACTGTTTTTAAATAAGCGGTAGGTATCAAAAATACCACCGTGTTTCAATGACAAGAAATATACATCCTTTACAATTTCGTATAAAAAATCGCTTTAGCATTTGCAATTTCGATAAAAATACTAAACGCTCGTCGTAGCCTATTTCTCGAGGAACGTAATGGGCTATCTAACATTACGATCACTTAGGAAGAGTGTACAGGCTGGATAAAAAACAAAACCTTTTGATAAAACCGCTAGTCTTCGTTCATAGCTGCCTATAACATGGGCATTCATACAAGAAATGAATAGCATCGCAATACAAATCAATGAAACTATAATTAGTTTCCTTCAGCTACAACGGGCGTCTAAAATGTTAAATTAAACATTCATCCTGTTTTTAAACAATCCCACATTATTAGCTAGACATTGTATGTTATTTTATGTTACGTACGTTTTACCTGCAAGTGGCACACCCACTTACGTCGGCGTAGGTATTTTTGTTCATAAAGTAATGATATAAAATCTAAATTGAATAGGTACTGTATGATGAGGAAAATGCCTATAGATCACGCTGACTGTTAACAGGTTGAAAAAACTGAGTAATTAATTATTTAGCATAAGGTGGTCATCTATGATTTAAGACGTAAAAACGTTGAAAATTAATCGTTCCTCCTAAGATGATGATGTGATCCGAAGCTATAGAAAATCTATACTACGGATATAAAGGCTGATATACTGGCCATTTCTATGGCCGTATAAACCGAATAATAGAACGTAGTATGAATCGATATCTCTCAAATTTATTTCGTCAAATTCTTACGTAAAATAACAATTTATCAGCTAACACGTGAATAGTCATGTTACCGATATCGTTGTAACCTAGCAACAAGATTATGGACTTCAAGGGCCTCGAACATCCGAGGAGACGTGTGAAGAATTTCACACGAACGAATTATGTTTATACCCTTATTTCCTGGTTCGAGTTTGACCGGAAAGCTATCCGTTCAATAAGACTGCGTTGCCAGATTTGTACCGTGAACAAGTTGAGAAACTCGTGCGTTCTTCTTGCTCTATGCTCCGAATTAAAGGAAAAACCACCGAATCGGAAGAATGCTCATCTAAACGACTGTTCTAAGCGTCCAGGATATAAAGACTAGCTCATTTCGTCGCTCGTCATCAAAACGTTTACCAAAAGATTCGCAGATTATCCATGAACACGGGTATCTCACATGATTTGCCCATTCTGTTTAGTGAATGAATGAAATGAACGCTACCTACTGTGAACATTGCCAGTTAAGGAAGTCAGTATACAGAATTTGCATGAAGTGACTTCATTACGTGATTATCTAGGCGTACAATGTATAGCAACAAACTTTAGGTGTCTACATTGAGGTGTACCTAAACGATAACAAATTAATGACTATGGTCCTTATGTTGTAATTAAAACCAAATATGTTTATTCAGAGTGAGGCACGCTATACCCTTGTAATTGTACCTACCATCTATCTATTGCGGAAGAGCAAACATTGTCGACAGGGGTAGTATCGACCTTTCTAACTTGGAACAACAGACCCATTGAACGTAGAAATGCCGGTAAAGGTTAAGTTAAGGGTGAACCTACGACGTTGCTATCTAATTGTCCTTTAATACGAGTACTTCACGGTCAAGGACATGAGATAATAAGATTTTTTCCGAAATACACCTTAGTAGTGCTATTTTAGACACAAAATAAGAGGCATAAATGAACGAATCACGCATATTTAATTAGGGTTTCCAGTTTTTCACGTCTCTTCATGTGCTGCTAGCGCAAGGTCCTTAGATCAACAAACTATTTGGCGATGTCAAGCAATTGGTGAGTTTTTAACAGCTACAACAATTAACACTTGCGGCCATAACTGTCTATCGGAATCTGTTACCATAATTCTTCCTTGTAACCGATATTGAACGCATCTACATAAATATGAGGAAAAATATCACAATAAATATTAAAATTGCTTACGTACATTACAAGCTGACCATCTCATTAGACAAACTTGCACGCGACTGTAAGTTTGTAAATGATACGTTGCCCTTGAAGTATGCACTAGGTT